GCAAAAAAAACACCCTGGTTGATCGGGCGCTGAAAACCAGGAGGCCGGTCCAGCCGGGCCGGGGGCTTGCCCCCCGAAACCTCCCCAGGTAAACTCCAGGTAAGGACCCCAACACAGTATGCAAAATTTTGTTTTTTTTTTTTTTTGGGGGGGGGGGGGGATCACCCTTTTCTAAAACGTGATGTTCACAGTTTTCATTTCTATACAGTGAATGTGTATAATTTGCAACTATGTCATTCTGTTATAAAAAGTCGTGTGTAATTATTTAAAAGACATAAATAAAAAACTATTAAATCAGCTAGGAAGTATAGCAGGCTTCCCCCGGGAAAAACCCCTTTTTTTAAAAACTATGGGGGCTCTATTACATAAATAAATTTATCTTCAATTTAGAAAAATTTTCTTGGTAGTGCTTGATTTATTGTAAAAAAGTATAATAAGATAAAATCTATCAAAAAAAATTACCGGCTTTCGAAAACTTTGAGTTTACAAGTTAGTCTATTTAGAAAGCAGTATTAAAAAAACTTTGAGCAAGGTAACCTACACCTATTTCTCCACTCTCTTTTTTTTATATCGTGGCCGCACAAAAGCATGAATTACATTTTCCCCGCACTTTCTTCATTTTTGTGCTCGGTCTTACCCTCCCCGGGGTTAAGAAAACTAAGTCAAAGGGGGGAAAAGCTTGTATGTATTGCTTTCCTCTTGTATGTAGCAGTCTATGTGTCATAATTAATTAACGAAGGTCGGCATTCTGTTTTTTAAACATGTAGATCTCGTAGCTGTTTGTTTTAGGCATTTCATTGTGTATTTGTGGTCTTAATTTATTTAGTATTCATTGAGATTTTACTTGAATGGTATGTAAATGTGTATTCATTGACGAAAAAGAAATTAGCAAAATTTTGAAGACTGGTATGAATCAATGTTAACTTGAGAATCTAGATTTTTTTTTTCATTGTTACAACCCACTCAAGAAAATGCAAAAATCAGAATTATTGGCTGGTTCAACAGTAACTAACTTTTAAGTTTTGTTCCATTAAGACCCCTATGGATTTAGTGCTTCCCTATTGATATTATTATTATTATAATAATTAATAATTTATTGTATTAAAGCGTATTCCAATGTGGAATAGGTTCTTTCACAGGCTAACCTCTATTATTTTTCTAATATACTTTTATTGTGGAAATTTTCAGTCATGTACTATATTCACGTGTATAAAAATGCTGAGCATATATTGAAGAAAATAGTTAATTTAATCATAATCATAAATTTCTTCAATATTTTTGACTTAAGATTAATAAGATATGAGAAATGAATAATGATTTTAAATCATCTGTTTTATGAACATTTCATTAGCACTTCATCCTTTGACCAGCTGTGGGTTCCTTACTGGTGCTGTATACTTCAGTATGGGCCTCACATACATGGTGTACAGCAGGGGTCTCCAAACTTTTCACTACGGGTTCCACCTGTGGGTTTATTAGTTTTACTATTTATAAATATTTGAAGTTGCTGTGAGGTGCAGTTTGGAGACCTGTGGTGTACAGTGTAGTGAATGACTCCTTAGTCAAAAAACTATTCTTAGATTTGCTAGATGCACATTTGTAGTGTTTACCTGGAGTTTACCTGGAGAGAGTTCCGGGGGTCAACGCCCCCGCGGCCCGGTCTGTGACCAGGCCTCCTGGTGGATCAGAGCCTGATCAACCAGGCTGTTGCTGCTGGCTGCACGCAAACCAACGTACGAGCCACAGCCCGGCTGGTCAGGAACCGACTTTAGGTGCTTGTCCAGTGCCAGCTTGAAGACTGCCAGGGGTCTGTTGGTAATCCCCCTTATGTATGCTGGGAGGCAGTTGAACAGTCTCGGGCCCCTGACACTTATTGTATGGTCTCTTAACGTGCTAGTGACACCCCTGCTCTTCATTGGGGGGATGTTGCATCGTCTGCCAAGTCTTTTGCTTTCGTAGTGAGTGATTTTCGTGTGCAAGTTCGGTACTAGTCCCTCTAGGATTTTCCAGGTGTATATAATCATGTATCTCTCCCGCCTGCGTTCCAGGGAATACAGGTTCAGGAACCTCAAGCGCTCCCAGTAATTGAGGTGTTTTATCTCCGTTATGCACGCCGTGAAGGTTCTCTATACATTTTCTAGGTCAGCAATTTCACCTGCCTTGAAAGGTGCTGTTAGTGTGCAGCAATATTCCAGCCTAGATAGAACAAGTGACCTGAAGAGTGTCATCATGGGCTTGGCCTCCCTAGTTTTGAAGGTTCTCATTATCCATCCTGTCATTTTTCTAGCAGATGCGATTGATACAATGTTATGGTCCTTGAAGGTGAGATCCTCCGACATGATCACTCCCAGGTCTTTGACGTTGGTGTTTCGCTCTATTTTGTGGCCAGAATTTGTTTTGTACTCTGATGAAGATTTAATTTCCTCGTGTTTACCATATCTGAGTAATTGAAATTTCTCATCGTTGAACTTCATATTGTTTTCTGCAGCCCACTGAAAGATTCGGTTGATGTCTGCCTGGAGCCTTGCAGTGTCTGCAATGGAAGACGCTGTCATGCAGATTCGGGTGTCATCTGCAAAGGAAGACACGGTGCTGTGGCTGACATCCTTGTCTATGTCGGATATGAGGATGAGGAACAAGATGGGAGCGAGTACTGTGCCTTGTGGAACAGAGCTTTTCACCGTAGCTGCCTCGGACTTTACTCTGTTGACGACTACTCTCTTGTGTTCTGTTAGTGAGGAAATTATAGATCCATCGACCAACTTTTCCTGTTATTCCTTTAGCACGCATTTTGTGCACTATTACGCCATGGTCACACTTGTCGAAGGCTTTTGCAAAGTCTGTATATATTACATCTGCATTCTTTTTATCTTCTAGTGCATTTAGGACCTTGTCGTAGTGATCCAATAGTTGAGACAGACAGGAGCGACCTGTTCTAAACCCATGTTGCCCTGGGTTGTGTACCTGATGGGTTTCTAGATGGGTGGTGATCTTGCTTCTTAGGACCCTTTCAAACATTTTTATGATATGGGATGTTAGTGCTATCAGTCTGTAGTTCTTTGCTGTTGCTTTACTGCCCCCTTTGTGGAGTAGGGCTATGTCTGTTGTTTTTAGTAACTGGGACGACCCCCGTGTCCATGCTCCCTCTCCATAGGATGGAAAAGGCTCGTGATAGGGGCTTCTTGCAGTTCTTGATGAACACTGAGTTCCATGAGTCTGGCGCAGAGTGCATGGGCATGTCATTTATCGCCTGTTCGAAGTCATTTGGCGTCAGGATAACATCGGATAGGCTTGTGTTAACCAAATTTTGTGACTCCCTCACAAAAAATTCATTTTGATCTTCGACTCTCAGTCTGGTTAGCGGCTTGCTAAAAACTGAGTCATATTTGGGACTTGAGTAGCTCACCCATTTCCTTGCTGTCATCTGTGTAGGACCCATCTTGTTTAAGTAGGGGCCCAATACTGGATGTTGTTCTCGACTTTGATTTGGCATAGGAGAAGAAATACTTTGGGTTTCTTTCGATTTCATTTATGGCTTTTAGTTCTTCCCGCGATTCCTGACTCCTATAAGATTCCTTTAGCTTAAGTTCGATGCTTGCTATTTCTCTGACCAGTGTCTCCCTACGCATTTCAGATATATTGACCTCTTTTAGCCGCTCTGTTATTCTTTTCCGTCGCCTGTAAAGGGAGCGCCTGTCTCTTTCTATTTTACATCTACTCCTCCTTTTTCTTAGAGGAATAAGCCTTGTGCATACATCGAGTGCCACCAAGTTAATCTGTTCTAGGCATACGTTGGGGTCTGTGTTGCTTAGTATATCTTCCCAGCTTATATCGGTTAGGACTTGGTTTACTTGGTCCCACTTTATGTTTTTGTTATTGAAGTTGAATTTGGTGAATGCTCCCTCATGACTAATCTCATTATGTCGGTCTGGGGCTCCGTGCATACATGTCTGAACCTCAATTATGTTGTGATCTGAGTATATTGTTTTTGATATGGTGACATTTCTTATCAGATCATCATTGTTAGTGAAGATGAGGTCTAGTGTATTCTCCAGTCTAGTAGGCTCTATTATTTGCTGGTTTAAATTGAATTTTGTGCAGAGATTTAAAAGCTCGTGTGAGTGAGAGTTTTCATCAGAGCTGCCTCCTGGTGTTATTACTGCAACAATATTATTTGCTATATTCCTCCATTTTAGGTGCCTTAAGTTGAAATCCCCCAGGAGCAAGATGTTGGGTGCAGTAGATGGAAGATTTTCCAGACAGTGGTCAATTTTTAACAGCTGTTCCTGGAATTGCTGGGATGTTGCATCCGGAGGCTTGTAGACTATCACAATGACTAGGTTTTGGTTCTCAACCTTTACTGCTAAAACTTCCACTACATCATTTGAGGCATTTAGCAGTTTTGTGCAAACAAGTGACTTTGCAATGTACAGGCCAACCCCCCCCCTTTTGCCTGTTCACTCTGTCACATCTGTATAGGTTGTAACCTGGGATCCATATTTCGTTGTCCAAGTGATCCTTAATGCATGTGTAAATTATTTATTTGTTTATTTATCTGAATTATTTATTTATTTCCTTATTCCTGTTGTTCCTATTCATCTAGCAGTAAGTATGTACCTAGTATTTACCACTTGTGGGTTGCATACATGTAAAATGTTATAGAAATACTTCCTTGTATTGTCTATATGATCTCCTGTAGCTCTCCAAATAGAATTTAAGCTCTTAGTTAATGTTTGCATGAGTGTCCTGTAGACATAGTGTACACAGAAGAAAGTGTGAATATTTTGCAATTTAAGCAAACTTAAACGTTTGAATAAGGGAGGGGTGTGTTTCCTTAGGCTCTGAATGAGTAATTATTCTGAGAGCTGATTTTTGCTGAGTAATAGTAGGTTTAAATGGGTGCTCATTCAGTTATTTGCCTTAATATTACTGGATGAGGGACACAAACCTCTACACCGGTGCACTATAGGCATTTAAAGCTACTGGATTTTAAAATAACATCCTTTTTACAGGTTGCATTTGTGGCTCAGATATCGGTGCTGATACAGACATCGTGGGTTTGATCCTTGTGTGGAGTACTGTCAAAGCATTTCACACAGTGAGTTTCCACACCTCTGGTTCTGTGTATGTGTCAGTACAGTATATGTATTGAAACTGAAACTGAAATTATGAAATTAAACTGGCTAGATAAGCAACTATAATCTCTCCTAATCCAGCCAAAACAGCAAAATTATCCTCAATTCAGAATTTATTAAGAGAGACACCTCTCATTCCTTGTATTGGTTGCTGGTGCTGCCAGTCAGTAGAGTTAGGCATCTTATTTGCTCCTTTTTAATTAATCCTCATGTGATAAATCTGGATTGTTTCCAGGATGTTAAAAAAAATCGTGCCAGAAAACACACATTTTAGTCATTTAGAACATTGGTATCCCTTTGCATGCTGTTTAAGTTGGAAGAGGAACATAATAAGTACATGCAGCAGAAGCTAGTTATATTGAATCCCATGTTAAATGGAGTGAGGCTCAACATTGCCAGCCACGCCACATGCTGTAGGAGTGCACAGCACTGCCCTTGCCTTCTACAACCTTCTCTTTCCCACAGCAAATTTTTTTTCTTGGTCGCTACTTTATCAAAGGCATTTATCCCTGGTATATGGCATTTAGTGTAGGTGTAGTGAGTTTCTATTTGTTATATACAATTCGGTCATGAAATATAATTTCTTTTGTGGTCTTGTGTTATTCCATGTATATATCTGAAATTAAAGTCTTTTAAGTAAACTTTTCATTATTTGTGGGTTTATTTCATACATTTATATTTATAAGCACATCTGAGAGCAACTTTAATAAGTCTGCAGTGTACTATAAAGGAGTGTAAGGTTACATTTGCCTCTACACACTAAACCGACACTAGCATTACCAACACCAGCTGATGTAAGTGAAATGATTTTCTGAACTTATAATGCATTGAAATTTAATACATGGCTATTTGGTGTGTTGAGTTCCTGTTTGTTTGGCACAATTTTATCAAAAGGTTTAAATTTTAATACTAACTAGTCATGGCTCTGCTCCATATAGTTGGGATAATTGAACATCTACTGTATATAGATAAAACTCAGATTGGAGAAAGTTGTTGATGTATGTATTGTAATATTGTACTACAACTATTATCACTTATATTATTGGCATTTAAAATATATTTTTAAGCCATATACATGTACTGTACCTGTTTGTTGGTATATAATGTTTTCTTATATGCATACTGTATTCACTTTTGGATGTACTGTATATTGTGTAAAGTTGATAGTATATATTGATCAGCATTAATGGATGGTATATTCATGTACACACAGTATTCTTCATGGATATTTCTGCGAGTGTCTAATGTTTGTCACACTCAACAGCACTTGCAAATACTGTAACTGTGCACTTGAGAGCAGCTTTGCAACATTTTCAGCAGCTTTTGCATCCCTTAATGCATCCACAACATAGCAACTCATGGTATGTTAGTGCTGCCGTGGAGTGGGTGGTTTACAGTGGCTTCCATAGTCCATTAGAGTATTTTACCTCTCCCAAACATTTGCATATGGAAGCTTTCAAACAGGAATGTTACATTGAACTCAGACATGCTGTAACAGTGTTGTGCAAGGCATTACGTCAGTTTTTTTATTTCACGTGAGGAAGTTTTTATTTTTTTACCTTTGCCGTACAGGGTACTGGTTCTATCATACATCTGCTTAACAAAATGTTCTATGACTGCAATGTAAGCAGATGAAAAGTTTCAAGTTGTACATAAAGGAGCTATTGAAGGAAGGTACACAACCTGAGAAATTGTGGAAAAAGGACACTGAAATTCCAGTTTCATGAAAGGAGCCAGAATTAGGATTATAAACTTTATTGTCAGTAGCTGCTCTGGTAAACATTTGCTCTCAGTTTGGTTGGACATACATTATCAGCTTTAAACAGGGCAATCATCACTGTTTCCTAGATGTGAAAATTTCTAGCACTCTGTCATAGAAGACAAAGAGGCTCAGTTAATATGTCGATTGGATAACATTTTTGAGGTATTGTACTGTATTACTATTTCAGTGTAGAAGGGGAGAGGTTTATCTTGATCTTGAGCATGGTGATTCATACGAAAAGTACCGTCATCTCTGAAGTTTGCATAATTTGATTTCTAGTAGTTAGGTTATGGTGAGTGCCAGTTGGCTCTTTGAATTGTTGCATGACTTCATATTTGACCCTTCCATGATCATTGACACCAAGGCAACCAGAAACAGATTTGCCCTGATAGTTTTTATCAAAAGAGCTGGAGAAACATAATTGCATGCTTATTAATTTCTGCCCTCAGAGTTTTATCCTAATAGATGGTATTTTATGTTTCACATGTTCCATTTTAACAATTTATGTTCAATATGTTTTAAGTGTAATATTTAATGTTTATTGTGTAAGTACAGTATAATATGTAATGCATAACCATACATGGAGATAGAATGAAGTATAGATTGAAGCGAGAGCTGTATATTTCTGCCCCCAGTTGTTATATTGATCAGTACTCGCTACATTACATGTATAATACTACCATTGTATAACATTTTAAGTTCACTATGTTTAGGGATAAAGATATAGTATCAGTATAGTAGATCAGTTAAGGTTGCCAGGTGTTCTCATTACTCTTCAAAACAAAACAAAAAAAATAGTCAAGAGTGCTCTAATTGAAGGTTCTGACCAGCCTAGGCCAGTAGGCTTACTACTGTAGGTTCCTTTTATGAAAGTTTGCACAGTCCATGAAGATAGTAATTATTAAACAGTATATGAAATTTCATGTTCAGTGTGTATTTTGTGGACACTGTAAAGCAATGAATAAGCCTAAAGACCTCACATTTGTTCAATAAAATAAGCTTGAGTAATTCTATTGAAATTAATCCATTTTGCAAAGACAACTTTTTTTTATGTGACATTTCTCTCCCTGCTCTCCATGGAGAAGTGAAACAGAATTCTTTCCCCGTAAGCCTTGCATGTTGTAAGAGGTGACTAAAATGCCAGGAGCAAGGGGCTAATAACCCCTTCTCCTGTATACATTACTAAATTTAAAAAAGAAACTTTTGTTTTTCTTTTTAAGTCGCTCTGCCTCTGTGGGATACATCCAGTTCGTTGAAAAAAAAAATTATCTTCCTGCACACTATATTTCAAACACAGAGTTTTATGACAGGATCGCTATTTATAAGCTGGACAGTGTTCTGGTCGTGGTGTAAAGGAAGAGAATATTTATCATATGAATGAAGAATGGAAAAAGCATTAGCATCACTTGGTTTTCTCAAGCTTATTTAATTGAACAAATGTTAAATCCTTTGCTTCATTCATGGTTTTACAGTGTTGACATTTTATAAACCATACCATGGGCAGGGTTAGAACCCGCAATCAGAGAGTCATAAAACTCTGATTGTGGGTTCTAACCCCGCCCGTGGTATGGTTTGTTTGCAATTGTGTCATTACGATTTCGTGAGTCACGTTGACATTTTATGCACATTAAACCTGAGATGTTAATGATTTTGTGTAATAATTACTGCTCAGTTGTGGCACCAAACATACAGTGAGTCATAGCAGATATTGCATGTCTTGGCAGTTGAGAAGATTTTCTCTGTATCTCAGTCTTAGCCTCCACACTACCATTTAGTAAATACATTTTTCTATATATATATTTTTTTTTGTTCTGGTTAAAAATCAGGAGGTATTCCAGAGGGAACAAAGACCTCAGAAATATAGATAAGTGGAGAGAAATTATAGTATAGCTTATATTGTGTTTTAATAACTTTTTATTTTTAGCAAAATATTCCACGTGGCTGTGGCAGGTTACCAAGAGCAAAGATGTCCCAAGATTCTGATGATGTGTCAGCCAACAATCAGAGTGAGGAATATGATGAACCTACAGTTGAATCGGATCCTGAGGAAGAATCAAGAGGTATTTATCTGACTACTAAAATCTAGCATACGAATAACCGCCTTTGGGTACAGTGTAAGTGTGACCTGGGTCTGTAATTGGAATTTTATTTGACTTCTTTTGATACTATACCATAAATATCATGGATTATGATGTTGCAGGTATAATTTGAATAAAATAAAGCACCTAGACTTTGGTCTGTAAATTTAGCATCATAGTCATTATACAGTAGGTGTCCTTGGCTTTATGCAGTGTGTTCCAGGCCCAAGGTATTTGAACTAAACTCAGGTTAGCCCATCAACACTTAATTCTACATAATAGGTGGGAGACGGCAGACTTGTTAAAAAAAAAAAAAAAAAAAGGATTTTTCAACATGCTTTGCAAATTGCAGTGATATCATATGTACATTGTACATATGGAATCACCGATAGAAATAGGATATCTCGTAATAGCAAATTTGCTTTTAAGTGAAAATGCATAAAGCAAGGAAAACCTTCAGAGAGAGTGAGTGTGAGAGAGTGAGTGTGAGAGAGTGAGTGTGAGAGAGTGAGTGTGAGGGAGTGAGTGTGAGGGAGTGAGTGTGAGGGAGTGAGTGTGAGGGAGTGAGTGTGAGGGAGTGAGTGTGAGAGTGAGTGAGTGTGAGGGAGTGAGTGTGAGGGAGTGAGTGTGAGGGAGTGAGTGTGAGGGAGTGAGTGTGAGGAGGAGTGAGGTGTGAGGGAGGTGTGTAGTGAGCGTGTGTGGAGAGAGATGTTGTGAGCGTGTGTGAGAGAGAGTGAGCGTGTGTGAGAGAGTAGTGTGGGGAGCATGTGTGAGAGAGTGTGTGAAGAGTTGGTGAGTGTGGTGAGAGATGTGTGGAGAGTGTGTGAGAGTGTGTGAGTGTGTGAGAGAGTTGTGAGAGAGTGTGTGTGAGAGAGTGTGTGAGAGTGTGTGAGAGTGGTGAGAGAGAGTGGTGGAGTGGTGTGAGGGAGAGTGGTGTGAGGGGAGAGTGTGTGAGGGAGTGGTGTGTGAGGGAGTAGTGTGTGAGGGAGTGTGTGTGAGGGAGTGGGGTGAGGGAGAGGGGGGTGTGAGAGAGAGTGTTTTGAGGAGTGTGTGAGAGTTGTGTGAGAGGAGAGTGTGTGTGTGAGAGTGTGTGTGGTGAGTGGTGTGTGTGAGAGTGTGTGTGTGAGAGTGAGTGTGTGTGAGAGTGGGTGTGTGTGAGAGTGTGTGTGTGAGAGTGTGTGGGTGAGAGTGTGTGTGGAGAGTGTGTGTGGAGAGTGTGTGAGAGAGTGAGTGTGTGTGAGAGTGAGTGTGAGGGTGTGTGTGAGGAGAGAGTGGTGTGTAGGAGAGAGTTGTGTGTGAAGAGTGTGTTGTGTGTGAGAGTGTGTGTGTGAGGTTGGTGTGTGTGAGAGTTGTGTGTGTGTGATGTGTGTGTGTGAGAGTGTGTGTGTGGAAGAGTGGTGTGTGAGAGAGTGTTGTTGTGTGAGAGAGTGTGTGTGTTGAGAGGTGTGTGGGTGAGAGAGAGTGTGTGTGAGAGAGTGGTGTGAGAGAGAGTGAGTGTGAGAGAGAGTGAGTGTGTGTGAGAGTGTTGTGTGTGTGTGTGTGTGTGTGTGTACTCACCTAGTGCCACCTAGTTGAGGCTGAGGGGTCGAGTCCAAGCTTCTGGCTGTCTTCACATGGTCGCTAAGTAGGTCTATCTGTTCGTGAGTTTTATCATACTTGCTTAAAGATGTAAGTCCTGCCCCAGCTAACTTCGCTTGCCCAAACTATTCCACTTCTGATACTCTGTGCTGAAGAAGTTTCCAACATCCCTGTGATTCATCGAGTCTTCAACTTCCAGACTGGCCCTTTGTTACTGGTGTCAAATTCTGGAAACGGTCTTGGCCACCTGTCAATTCTGTCAGTATTTTGTAATGATGTATCATGTCCCCTATACTTCCTGCCTCAGTGTGTCAGGTTGATTTCGCCAACCTCTCCGTAGGAATACCTCTTAGCTCTGGGATAGTCTTGTTGCAATTTGACTTTCTCTAGCTTCTTTACGTGCTTGGTTAGGTGTGGGTTCCAAAACTGGTGCTGCATACTCCGAATATGGGTGAGACACGGTGTACAGGTCCTGAACGATTCTTATTAAGATGTCGAATGCTGTTTGAGGTTTGCTAGTGCGCCCTTGCTGCAGCCATTATTTGGTTGATGTGTGCTTCAGGAGATGTGCCTGGGGTTAATCCCCCAAGATTGTTTCCTTGAGTGAGTTTGTAGTCTCTGGCCCCTAGACGTACTCAGTCTACGGGTTTCTTTGCCTTCCACCAATCTTCATGACTGCACTGTGTGTGGATTGAACTCCAGGAGCCAAGTGCTGGACCAGGTCTGCCTTTCCAGATGCCTTTGTAGTGCCTGGTCTCAATCGAATGTTGTCTCATCAACTTCAAGTCTTGCAAACAGGGAACCTCGGGGTTATTCTTCCGTATTGTCGTTCACAAATACTATGTTACCAGAAGCAGCACTGGTCCTAGGACTGACCACGTGGTGTGTGTGTGTGTGTGTGTGTGTGTGTGTACATACTACGTACTCGCCTAATTGTATTACTCGCCTATGTGGTTCAGGGTCAAGACCTGCTCCTGGCCCCACCTCTTCACTGATGCTACTAGGTCCTCTCTCTCCCTGTCATGAGCTTTATAATACCTTGTCTTAAAGCTATGTATGGTTCCTGCCTCCATACCTCACTTGCTAACTATTGCACTTCCTGACTATTGTAGGCAGCCGTACTGTCGAACAACAGCCTACCGTCTCCTTAACTAGTTCACTTTTGCGGCATTTAGTGCTGCCTCTGTAGGCTTCACCCAGGTCATTGGATGCATCAGCCCATCCCTCTCACTCCTAGGCCGACCGACTTGGAGACACAAGTGCTTCCCCCTCCTCGGACTGCTTGCGTCACTCCCTCACACATGCCCTTGTGTACTCACTCCTATCCATTAAGCCAAACTATCCACGGCCGTATCATTGTACCTACGTACCTTCCATCGGCACTAAACCGCTGTCACAGGTTAGAACAGCATAACATGCAAAAAAGTACTCCCAGCTCTCTCTCGTGGGATGGCCCTGCCCGGGCCATGGGCACAACACAAGCCTGTGTACCCACCACTACTTAACAATAAACAAAGAAGCCTCCGAAGTTTATCATTAACCACCCGCTTTCAGCCCTACCAAACAAAACCGTTATACTACTCTATGGCTGAAGAAATACTTCCTAACATCTCTTTGACTCGTATGAGTCTTCAGCTTCCAATTTTGACCCCTTGTTTGTGTGTCCCATTTCTTGAACATCCTGCCTCTGTTCACCTTATCTATTCCTCGCAGTATTTTGTATGTTGTTATCATGTCTCCCCTAACCCTCCTGTCCTCCAGTGTGTCAGGCCGATTTCCCTTAACCTTTCTTCGTAGGATGTATGTGCATGTGTGTACATGTGTGTGTGTGCGCATGTGTATGTGTGCATGTATGTGTGTGTGTGTGTGTGTGTGTGTGTGTGTGTGTGTGTGTGTGTGTGTGTGTGTGTGTGTGTGTGTGTGTGTGTGTGTGTGTGCACTCGCCTAGTTGTGGTTGCAGGGGTCGAATCATAGCTCCTGGCCCGCCTCTTCACTGACCACTACTGGGTCACTCTCCCTGCACCATGAGCTTTATCATACCTCTTCTTAAAGCTATGAATGGATCCTGCTCCACTATATCACTTGCCAAACTGTTCCACTTCCTGACTACTCTGTGACTGAAGAAATACTTCCTAACATCTCTGTGATTCATCTGTGTCTTCAGTTTCCAACTGTCCCCCCTTGTTGCTGTGTCTCATCTCTGGAACATTCTGTCTGTCCACCTTGACAATTCCTTTCAGTATTTTATATGTCATTATCATGTTCCCACTATCTCCTGTCCTCCAGTGTCATCAGGTCGATTTTCCTTTAGCCTATCCTCATAGGATATACCCCTTAGCTCAGGAACTAGTCTTGTTGCAAACCTTTGCACTTTCTCTAGTTTCTTTACATGCTTGACAAGGTGTGGATTCCAAACTGGTGCCTCATGCTCTAATATGTGCCTAACGTACACAATGTACAGGGTCCTGAACGATTCCTTGTTAAGATGTTGGAATGCTGTTCTGAGGTTTGCCAGGCGCTTATTTCTTGGGTGGCATTGAAAATTGGGTTGGGCAAATGTTTTGTTAGTGGGATGAATTCTAAAGGACCTGCCTAGTATGGGCCAACAGGCCTCCTGCAGTGTTCCTCCTTTCTTTTCTTATGTTCTTATGTAAAAGGAACAATACTGTATGTAAAATATTGAATACAATTTTTTAGAAAAAATTAGCTGAAATTAGATTCAGAATATTATGGCTTAGAAATGCATTAATTCATTTTACATCATTTCTTATGGGAAGATATCTTCCGAGTACCAAACAGTTAATTTACGATGAATTTTCTTGAAGTTGGAGCCCTAGTATATATTTTACATTTTTAATTATTTCTATGGATGATAGTTTAATATTGAAGCTAAATTTTATACATATAGTTTGAATGCCTTGTATTACAATGAGAGATTTAGATGTATGAGGTCAGGATGTAATTTTACCAGGTACGTATTTCATAATATTACAATATCAAGAAAATTTCTTTGATTGCTAAATTCCAATCATGAAAACAGTTCCTTTTATTTTTTTTTTTTGACTCTTGGATAGCTTGTAAACAGTGGTACAGTACATACAATCCTGCATATATATGTATTACACAGTGAAGAGTTTTTACGAGGATAGTGAGGCTCAAGTTAGAGTATGTAGGAAAGAGGGAGATTATTTCCCAGTAAAAGTAGGCCTTAGACAAGGATGTGTGATGTCACCTTGGTTGTTTAATATATTTATAGATGGGGTTGTAAGAGAAGTAAATGCGAGGGTCTTGGCAAGAGGCGTGGAGTTAAAAGATAAAGAATCACACATAAAGTGGGAGTTGTCACAGTTGCTCTTTGCTGATGACACTGTGCTCTTGGGAGATTCTGAAGAGAAGTTGCAGAGATTGGTGGATGAATTTGATAGGGGATGTAAAAGAAGAAAATTAAAAGTGAATACAGGAAAGAGTAAGGTTATGAGGATAACAAAAAGATTAGGTGATAAAAGATTGGATATCAGACTGGAGAGAGAGAGTATGGAGGAGGTGAATGTATTCAGATATTTGGGAGTGGACGTGTCAGTGGATGGGTCTATGAAAGATCAGGTGAATCATAGAATTGATGAGGGGAAAAGGGTGAGCGGTGCACTTAGGAGTCTGTGGAGACAAAGAACTTTGTTCTTGGAGGCAAAGAGGGGAATGTATGAGAATATAGTTTTACCAACGCTCTTATATGGGTGTGAAGCATGGGTGATGAATGTTGCAGCGAGGAGAAGGCTGGAGGCAGTGGAGATGTCATGTCTGAGGGCAATGCGTGGTGTGAATATAATGCAGAGAATTCGTAGTTTGGAAGTTAGAAGGAGGTGCGGGATTGCCAAAACTGTTGTCCAGAGGGCTGAGGAAGGGTTGTTGAGGTGGTTCGGACATGTAGAGAGAATGGAGCGAAACAGAATGACTTCAAGAGTGTATCAGTCTGTAGTGGAAGGAAGGCGGGGTAGGGGTCGGCCTAGGAAAGGTTGGAGGGAGGGGGTAAAGGAGGTTTTGTGTGCGAGGGGCTTGGACTTCCAGCGGGCATGCGTGAGTGTGTTTGATAGGAGTGAATGGAGACAAATGGTTTTTAATACTTGACGTGTTGTTGGAGTGTGAGCAAAGTAACATTTATGAAGGGATTCAGGGAAACCGGCAGGCCGGACTTGAGTCCTGGAGATGAGAAGTACAGTGCCTGCACTCTGAAGGAGGGGTGTTAATGTTACAGTTTAAAAATTGTAGTGTAAAGCACCCTTCTGGCAAGACAGTGACGGAGTGAATGATGGTGAAAGTTTTTCTTTTTCGGGCCACCCTGCCTTGGTGGGAATTGGCCAGTGTGTTAATAAAATAAAAATAAATATTTAATATGTTTCATATGAAAATAAGTAAAATGTACTTGTGTATTTACATTTGTACAGTATCTTCCAGTCAGTGAAAATTTGTTTGTGTTTGTGTTGACTGTGTTGAAACTCAGGTTTGGTCGGATCGTAACATCTGCAGGGCCCTCAAGAAATGCCTTGTTAAAAAATTGCTACTACTACAGTTAAACAAGTAGTGAATAGCAGGGCCTTACTGTACAGTCAGTACTAAACATTTGTACTACAGTAAACAGTTAAAAAAAAGTTAAACAAGCCGGGTCACTACATGGACAAGACCCAGGCTCGGACGCCACTGGTGAATCATATACATGTTAAACAAATTGAAAACTTTATATTCCACATGGCATCCAACCAGTTACCACTGTCATAGAAAGTGCCAAAAATATTAGGTGATACTCCATTTTTTATTATATCATACCTGGTTTGGGGGGTCAATGCCCCTACAGCCTGGTCTGTGACCAGGCCTCATGGTGGATCAGGGCCTGATCAACCTGGTTGTTACTGTTGGCCACAGAAATTCTTTACAAACATATCAGATATAAAAATTGCATTTGTAGGATCAACTTAAATTAAAAATGTGTATGCTCATTTCCATGAAGCACCATCCCAGCTGCTGCTGTACACTTTCCATGGGATGGAGGGAGGATAACTGGGGCAGTCATTCTATACAATTTCATGAATGCAAGAATGAATTAGCATATCCTTCTACCAAGAATTATAATAAACTAATAAAAATAATTAATAATAAATGTTTATAATATTAGCAACATAAATTATGCCCCAAAGATTGGTTTATTTCATAGTTTCTTACTAGGAAGATGCCATAGTTATGCAGAAATGCAGAGTATTTTGGATAGACTGATGTTAGAATTTAAAATTACATGGCATTAAATGGTTAAAGTTAGATTATTTGAAGGCCAGGTTCAACATTAACTAAGTTGTTTGAAGTGAAAATTGTGAAGTGCAGTGATCAATTTTTTTGTTAACATGCTGGCTGTCTCCCGCTAAGGCTGAGTGCCCCCTGCCCTCCCCCTCCCCCCAAAAAAAAAAAATCGCCATCATTCACACATATCACTGTTTTTACAGAGGCGTGCACATATGACAGTTCAGATGTCACTCCAAAGATCAGATCTCCCAAACCCCAAAAACTGTTCATTAAAGCAGTGCTGTTAAAAGGAAGGGACAGTAACGCAGGAGCACAATGACAATTTTAGTGTTAAAATTTTTGGGGGGTTAGAAATATATTGATAGCAGAGAGACAAAGTGCATGAATGTGAATGCTGAATTTAGGTTTAGATTTAGATTATTTCCAATCACTGCATTTCAAAATATACAATAATCAATTTTCATAAATCTAGTCTTCTTGTTTTTTATGTATTTCTACAGCTGATCCGGATGAGGGTGAAACGGAAGATCTAGTCATCCTTGACCCCAATGCAGTGGTGAGTTCCATTGCCTGCATCTTTTTAACATACTATCTCCCACAGAGGAAGGGTGACCCAAAAAACAAGGCAACACATTCAGTATCATACATTCGATAGCTATTTTACCAAAAGTGTACGTACTGACATTATAATTAAAATGATCCTCTGATCTGTAACATTTCCCCTCCTTTCCCTCATCTCCTTTCAGGGTGTAAGCATTGTACTTTCTACCTCCAGGACTCAAACCTGGCTAACCAGTTTCACTGAATCCCTTCATAAATGATACCATGCTCACACCCCTGCAGGATGTCAGGCCACTGGTATACAGTGGTACCCTGAGTTTCGAACTGCTCCCAACTCGACCAATTATGTAAGTGTATTATTGTAAGTGTTTTTGTAGGTATATTTTTGGGGGTCTGAAACGGACTAATCTAATTTACATTATTCCTCATGGGAACAAATTCGTTAAGTAACGGCACTCGAACGGTCTTCTGGAACAAAGAAAGTTCGAAACGAGGGGTTCCACTGTATCGGTATATATCCTGGTAACATGATTTTCACACGTATAAGGCTTAAAAAAATATTTTTGATAAGTATCACTGAATAACCATTGATGGCAGAGTTAAAATTTTGACATTGAAATTGTTGAATATAGTTGCTAGTTAGGAAGTTTATTAACTAAGAACGTTAGCTATATACAACCTCCCATCACTTAACCCTTTCAGGGTTGACAGGCCCTCTCCCACACCTGTTCTCAGGGTTGCCAAATTTTAAAAAAAAAAAAAAATTATTTTTTCTTATGAAAAGATAGAGAATCTTTTCCCGATCATAATGACACCAAAAGTATGAAATTTGATGGAAAACTTACGGAATTATGTTCTCATGAAGTTAGCGGTCGCGACGATGTTTATGCATCGGCGATTTTGCCCACTTTGAGCCCTTTTTCGGCCAATTCCAGTGTACTAGTCGACAAAATTCATAACTATTTTGCTAGAACTCCATTTTTTCTATCGAATGAGTACAGGAAACCACCCATTTACCGATTTCAACTATCCAATAAAGTGGTCAGAATTTAGCAATTTTGCCAATTTCACACAAATTTCAAAAGATGCCAATTTCCAAATAGGGTCCAGAATAAACATGAAAGACATTCCTGGCACTAAAATAACATTTCCTCTGTTCATTAGTCACATCCCCAGGCCCCTCTTACATTTCTTTTGCTTTCCACTTTGAATTTTTATTCTCACAAAAAAAATAGAAGATTTACTGTTATGCAGACTACTGTATTAGTGTAGAAATGGTATAAATAATATCAGCACACTTGTGAAAGAATATTAGGTTCACCAGTTGACGTTTAATAGATGCGCGGCATGATTTGTTTACTTTTGAACTTTGGCAAAAATTGAACATTTCTGCTACTTTGAGCTCAATTTCAAGGTACTTTTCATTGTGAAACCAATCAAAATCATCTCAATTTCTGTAATATGCCTTCCATTCTATAAAATAAGACCAGGAAAACTAGAATACAACCATAAATACCATACGAAAATACAGTGCAAAGTTGCTGTTTTAAACCAAAAACATGGTCAAAGTTTTTTTTTCTCATTACGCACTGTGTGCTGCAGGATTTTTTTTATACTGTGCACACTGACCACATAGACCCATTCTTTCATATGCAGGCCTACCAGCTTTCTCTTGCTAGATTTGAGGGCGCTAGAATTTATGCATACTAGTACGTCAAAAACCCTGGCGCGTAAGCCATACTAGTACGTCAGAAACCCTGAAAGGGTTAATGCCAGAATTCCGTTCCTAAAACCACATTGGTAAACGAATTCGTCACTAAGCAAGGAGCATACTATAATGATAGTGGGTTTGTGTCAACCATCTATTGTTTTAATGTCACTGTTGCACCATTTATAACATTTTTAGTATATTTTTAAATGTTTATACAGTAGTGTACTCTATATTGTAATAAACAGAATAGAGGAAATCTGCTCTAATATACATTATTTAGTCATGTATACTGGTCAGAGAGCCTGTGGCAAGTCAGAGTTGTCGATAAACGAGTACGTCACTAAGTGAGGAGAGGCTGTAGATCAGACGGTTTATTGTAATGCAGTAGTAAAATGTCAGCATGCCTGTTGCATTACATAAATCTTAGGCACGAGTAATAAAGAATATATGATGTTATATGTATCACATAATTCCTTTAGCATTATTGTAGTTACATGGCATTTATGTTGAGGGAGACTTTAAAATCTTAATTTTTTTTTTTTAATCACTACTGTATATATTATTTACTTAATGACAGCATTTGGAGTTAGTCACCATGAGACACAGGCATGCTTCTCTTTACTGCAATAGTTTGATTAATATCACTGTGTGTGTATTTTTTTTTTTTTGAAGGCAGGGAAACTGCAATTTAAGCTTACCACATTGAACAGTGTAATGATCAATAGATAGTTTTGCTGTCATGAATTCCTGAAGCTAAGACACTTTTTGATCCTCACTGTGTTGATTGTTATATGTAGTGACATAATTTGTCAACAGAGTTATAATACTTAATATCTTTTCAGGAGGTTGACTTAAATCACCGCCGCATTGCCAAGATAGAGAACCTGGAGTCACTGACTTGTGTAGAGACACTCTGTTTGCGATGGAACCTTATTAAAAGAATTGAAAATCTACATACACTTACCATGCTCAAGGAGTTGGAATTGTATGATAACCAAATTAACGTTATTGAAAATCTGTCTGCGCTCATCAACCTTGAGTAAGCTGATATTTCAAGTTACTCTAAATCCTTGATTAATGCCTGGGTTGCATTCCTGAAAAATAGTGCTTAACTTAAAATAGCTTTACATGAAGTGAAGGATTTATGGAAAAAATTAGGGTTACATTCTAGACAACTTCAAATTCCCCAGACAATTTTTTATTTTTTTTTATCATCACACTGGCCGATTCCCACCAAGGCAGGGTGGCCAGAAAAAGAAAAACTTTCACCATCATTCACTCCGTCACTGTCTTGCCAGAAGGGTGCTTTACACTACAGTTTTTAAACTGCAACATTAACACCCCTCCTTCAGAGTGCAGGCACTGTACTTTCCATCTCCAGGACTCAAGTCCGGCCTGCCGGTTTCCCTGAACCCCTTCATAAATGTTACTTTGCTCACACTCCAACAGCACGTCAAGTATTAAAAACCATTTGTCTCCATTCACTCCTATCAAACACGCTCACGCATGCCTGCTGGAAGTCCAAGCCCCTCGCACACAAAACCTCCTTTACCCCCTCCCTCCAACCTTTCCTAGGCCGACCCCTACCCCGCCTTCCTTCCACTACAGACTGATACACTCTTGAAGTCATTCTGTTTCGCTCCATTCTCTCTACATGTCCAAACCACCTCAACAACCCTTCCTCAGCCCTCTGGACAACAGTTTTGGTAATCCCGCACCTCCTCCTAACTTCCAAACTACGAATTCTCTGCATTATATTCACACACCACATTGCCCTCAGACATGACATCTCCACTGCCTCCAGCCTTCTCCTCGCTGCAACATTCATCACCCATGCTTCACACCCATATAAGAGCGTTGGTAAAACTATACTCTCATACATTCCCCTCTTTGCCTCCAAGGACAAAGTTCTTTGTCTCCACAGACTCCTAAGTACACCACTCACCCTTTTCCCCTCATCAATTCTATGATTCACCTCATCTTTCATAGACCCATCCGCTGACACGTCCACTCCCAAATATCTGAATACACTCACCTCCTCCATACTCTCTCCCTCCAATCTGATATCCAGTCTTTCATCACCTAATCTTTTTGTTATCCTCATAACCTTACTCTTTCCTGTATTCACTTTTAATTTTCTTCTTTTGCATACCCTACCAAATTCATCCACCAATCTCTGCAACTTCTCTTCAGAATCTCCCAAGAGCACAGTGTCATCAGCAAAGAGCAACTGTAACAACTCCCACTTTATGTGTGATTCTTTATCTTTTAACTCCATGCCTCTTGCCAAGACCCTAGCATTTACTTCTCTTACAACCCCATCTATAAATATATTAAACAACCACGGTGACATCACACATCCTTGTCTAAGGCCTACTTTTACTGGGAAATAATCTCCCTCTTTCCTACATACTCTAACTTGAGCCTCACTATTCTCGTAAAAACTCTTCACTGCTTTCAGTAACCTACCTCCTATACCATACACCTGCAACATCTGCCACATTGCCCCCTTATCCACCCTGTCATACGCCTTTTCCAAATCCATAAATGCCACAAAGACCTCTTTAGCCTTATCTAAATACTGTTCACTTATATGTTTCACTGTAAACACCTGGTCCACACACCCCCTACCTTTCCTAAAGCCTCCTTGTTCATCTGCTATCCTATTCTCCGTCTTACTCTTAATTCTTTCAATAATAACTCTACCATACACTTTACCAGGTATACTCAACAGACTTATCCCCCTATAATTTTTGCACTCTCTTTTGTCCCCTTTGCCTTTATACAAAGGAACTATGCATGCTCTCTGCCAATCCCTAGGTATCTTACCCTCTTCCATACATTTATTAAATAATTGCACCAACCACTCCAAAACTATATCCCCATCTGCTTTTAACATTTATATCTTTATCCCATCAATCCCGGCTGCCTTACCCCCTTTCATTTTACCTACTGCCTCACGAACTTCCCCCACGCTCACAACTGGCTCTTCCTCACTCCTACAAGATGTTATTCCTCCTTGCCCTATACACGAAATCACAGCTTCCCTATCTTCATCAACATTTAACAATTCCTCAAAACATTCCCTCCATCTTCCCAGTACCTCTAACTCTCCATTTAATAACTCTCCTCTCCTATTTTTAACTGACAAATCCATTTGTTCTCTAGGCTTCCTTAACTCGTTAATCTCACTCCAAAACTTTTTCTTATTTTCAACAAAATTTGTTGATAACGTCTCACCCACTCTCTCATTTGCTCTCTTTTTACATTGCTTCACCACTCTCTTAACCTCTCTCTTTTTCTCCATATACTCTTCCCTCCTTGCATCACTTCTACTTTGTAAAAACTTCTCATATGCTAACTTTTTCTCCCTTACTACTATCTTTACATCGTCATTCCACCAATCGCTCCTCTTCCCTCCCGCACCCACTTTCCTGTAACCACAAACTTCTGCTGAACACTCTAACATTACATTTTTAAACCTACCCCATACCTCTTCGACCCCATTGCCTATGCTCTCATTAGCTCATCTATCCTCCAATAGCTGTTTATATCTTACCCTAGCTGCCTTCTCTTTTAGTTTATAAACCTTCACCTCTCTCTTCCCTGATGCTTGTATTCTCCTTGTATTCCATCTACCTTTTACTCTCAGTGTAGCTACAACTAAAAAGTGATCTGATATATCTGTGGCCCCTCTATAAACATGTATATCCTGAAGTCTACTCAACAGTCTTTTATCTACCAATACATAATCCAACAAACTATTGTCATTTTGCCCTACATCATATCTTGTGTACTTATTTATCCTCTTTTTCTTAAAATATGTATTACCTATAACTAAACCCCTTTCTATACAAAGTTCAATCAAAGGGTTCCCATTATCATTTACACCTGGCACCCCAAACTTACCTACCACACCCTCTCTAAAAGTTTCTTCTACTTTAGCATTCAGGTCCCTTACCACAATTACTCTCTCACTTGGTTCAAAGGCTCCTATACATTCACTTAACATCTCCCAAAATCTCTCTCTCTCTCTCTCCTCTACATTCCTCTCTTCTCCAGGTGCATACACGCTTATTATGACCCACTTTTCGCATCCAACCTTTACTTTAATCCACATAATTCTTGAATTTACACATTCATATTCTCTTTTCTCCTTCCGTAACTGATCCTTCAACATTACTGCTACCCCTTCCTTTGCTCTAACTCTCTCAGATACTCCAGATTTGTTCCCATTTATTTCCCCCCACCAAAACTCCCCTACCCCCTTTAGCTTTGTTTCGCTTAGGGCCAGGACATCCAACTTCTTTTCATTCATAACATCAGCAATCATCTGTTTCTTGTCATCTGCACTACATCCAAGCACATTCAAGCATCCCAGTTTTATAAAGTTTTTCTTCTTCTCTTTTTTAGTAAATGTCTACAGGAGAAGGGGTTACTAGCCCATTGCTCCCGGCATTTTAGTCACCTCTTACGACACGCATGGCTTACGGAGGAAAGATTATTTTCCACTTCCCATGGACAATAGAAGAAATAAAGAAGAACAAGAGCTATTTAGAAAAAGGAGAAAAACCTAGATTTTTTTTTTTTTTTTCAACAAGTCTGCCATCTCCCACCGAGGCAGGGTGACCCAAAAAAGAAAGAAAATCCCCAAAAAGAAAATACTTTCATCATTCATCACTTTCACCACACTCACACATTATCACTGTTTTTGCACAGGTGCTCATAATACAACAGTTTAGAAGCATATACGTATAAAGATACACAACATATCCCTCCAAACTGCCAATATCCCAAACCCCTCCTTTAAAGTGCAGGCATTGTACTTCCCATTTCCAGGACTCAAGTCCGACTATATGAAAATAACCGGTTTCCCTGAATCCCTTCACTAAATATTACCCTGCTCACACTCCAACAGATCATCAGGCCCCAAGTATCATTCGTCTCCATTCACTCCTATCTAACACGCTCGCGCACGCTTGCTGGAAGTCCAAGCCCCTTGCCCACAAAACCTCCTTTACCCCCTCTCTCCAACCCTTTCGAGGACGACCCCTAACCCTCCTTCCTTCCCCTATAGATTTATGCTTTCCATGTCATTCTACTTTGATCCATTCTCTCTAAATGACCAAACCACCTCAACAACCCCTCTTCTGCCCTCTGACTAATGCTTTTATTAACTCCACACCTCCTAATTTCCACACTCCGAATTTTTGCATAATATTTACACCACACATTGCCCTTAGACAGGACATCTCCACTGCCTCCAACCGTGTCCTCGCTGCTGCATTTACCACCCAAGCTTCACATCCATATAAGAGTGTTGGTACCACTATACTTTCATACATTCCCTTCTTTGCCTCCATAGATAACGATTTTTGACTCCACATATACCTCAACGCACCACTCACCTCTTTTCCCTCATCAATTCTATGATTAACCTCATCCTTCATAAATCCATCCGCCGACACGTCAACTCCCAAGTATCTGAAAACATTCACTTCTTCCATACTCCTCCTCCCCAATTTGATATCCAATTTTTCTTTATCTAAATCATTTGATACCCTCATCACCTTACTCTTTTCTATGTTCACTTTCAACTTTCTACCTTTACACACATTCCCAAACTCATCCACTAACCTTTGCAATTTTTCTTTAGAATCTCCCATAAGCACAGTATTTTCAGCAAAAAGTTACTGTGTATGTATATATATATATATATATGCATGTGCGTGTCTGTGAAGTGTGACCAAAGTGTAAGTAGGGGTAGCAAGATATCCCTGTTATCTAGCGTGTTTATGAGAGAGAAAAAGAAACCAGCAATCCTACCATCATGCAAAACAGTTACAGGTTTCTGTTTCACAGTCATCTGGCAGGACGGTAGTACTTCCCTGGGTGGTTGCTGTCTACCAACCTACTACCCAGACAACTCTTTACGAAATTCTACCTTGTTCAAAATACCTGTACATTCCAGTTGTCATTCCTTGTTGACATGGAAGTGCATGGAGAGGCTTAATGTGAACCTATTAGGGTTAGGCTGTG